TATATATAATGTATGCGAAAGAATTTAATCCTAGAATCTCCTCTAAATGTCTTAACTAATAGGACACGTTTTACTTACATTCAGTTAACTGAATTTTCATGTGTTACATTTTATTCAGGCGTTAATCACTACAAGACTAATATTCGAAATTGTTTGAGAAAAAATATGCGAAAATTTTATTTCAATTCCAGATTCCCAATTTGCGATCCTCATCAGCAGAATTTTTGAAAATCATACTCATTTTAACACTTACTTGAACGCTTATCTTCCTTCCTCGAAATAAAAAAGGATAAAATAAAACGATAAAATTATCCATTTTTCTTTTATCCAAAAAATAATTGAAACAACTCTATTACAACAATCTTCATAATCTGGTATATTTCTTAGATTGTCTTAGTTATTAATAATAGCTTCGTCCACTTCCAACAACAAACAATATTCTAACAACCTGGCAAAAGGGAAGATTTACTATCAATTTAAATCTCCCCTTCACAATATCTCTATCATCTATCAAAAAGAAAGCAACTCAAATTACAGATATGAGAAAAAAAATCCAATTTAAAAGTTCCAAATTCCAGATCTCACTTCTGTTCTTCTTAACTTACAGTAGCGCACAGAACAAAAAACAATTTTTAATACTATTATAACTAAATTTGTTCGGAAAAAATTCAAATTGTGCAACAAAGTGAAATTTAGAATAAAAAGAATAAACCGAACAGTTAATTCGAATAAGTGCATATTTAGTGCGTGCATGTGCTTGTGCACGCATATTTGGTAGAAAAAAGAATCATGCTATGAGGCAATCAAAAAACTGAAATGTAAGAGAATTTGATTCAAACAATTTGGAAAAAAAGTTGGAAATGGAGAATATTATCAAGAATGTCATAATTTTAAGTTTGAAGAAGTTTTTAAAAAACATAAGAAAAAAGTTCAGGACAATCAAACCTGTCTTTTTATCGATGGTCCTCCTTTTTCACTTCCATGTCGTTTTTGAATGTTTGATGCTGCTATTCCTATCTGAGTGAATTGTGCACTGGAGGCGATAATCGATGAGGCTATTTGAGCAACAAGCGCGTCAGGAAGTTTGTTAGCCTTAATTTGCTTTGCTGCGCGGATTATTTCATATGGTTGTCGAGTTGTGCCTAAAAAAGCAATATTCTACTAATAAAATAACGAAAGTTTTCAGAAAGCTGACCAAAAAATGGAAAAAAATGCTCATTCGAAAAAATTGAAAATGTCTTTAAAAAAATTATCAAACAACTCCATAACTGCTAAAATATGGGTCAGAGTTCTGGGAGTCAAATTTAGTCTATAAGTTTGACATATTCGGAGACCAAATCGAAGTACTTAACTGTGGGAATTTTTCCATTTTGAATTATATTTAAAGATCGAAACTGATTGCAATGATATTTTTTTCTGTCGTTATTGCATAACTAAATAATTTTACGCGTAGAGTTGAATAATATATTGATGCCATCTGCCGTTATCAGCGCTGATAGGTGACAGAGTTATTTTCTATGCAATTTACAAGCCTATTTCTGGAATTTAATAAAGTAACTTACAGAATTGCTTGATGGCATGTCCATTTATAGGTAAGAAAGGACGTCGCGCGGAACGTCGGATATTGAATAACGATTTTGGAGCCAATCGTCGAGCAATTCGCATCGATAATGTTGTGTTAAGATAAAATGCAACTCGAGTTTTCACTGATGACGAATGTCCTCCTCCCGATAATTTTTGCTGTGCTTGTGAATGACCAGATGGCAGACGCCCCAACATTTGGCTACTACCGGAGCGACCATTAATTCCATTCCTTGCCTAAAACAAGAGTAAATTTGAGAAAGCAATTTTAACTTACGTAGATTATGCTCAATTCGAACAATAAAAAATAACATTCTCTGCTCGTTTAAAAATTCTGAAACCGTGTCCAAAATGTATAGTGTCCTACTCGCTTTGATTTCAACATAAGAAGGGATGTGGACGGAAGTTAGACAATATCACAATAAACGAAAAATTTAAAAATTCCAGTGAGTAAAAGGTTTTTCTGAATTCTGTTAAACAATGGTAAAATTGAACAAGCTTTGATATTGAAAGATTTGCTCTGTTTTTTATCTACCGTAGTAGAACCAGCTGTCCCAGAATTTCGATTGATAAAACTAGTTGGAACAACCGCGGATGTTAGTCTTTGTGGCTGCGTTTGAAGCTGTGATGTCGATTCCTGTGTTGTTGTGCCATCAAGATCGTAAGATTCTGAAAAGAATTAATTCAGGACTGCTCATTTCTAATTGCTTCATAATAAATATTCAAGTTTGGTGAACATATTTTCGGGGAAAGTGTGTTGTGGAAATTGTTCGTGATATGCTCGAAGCTAACTTTTTTTTGTAAAATAATTTTCTTTCCACTCTGATCAAAACCAGTGTTTACTCTATTAAATTTTCTAATTATAGAATGATAAGCGAGTAAAACTAACAAATTTTCTCATATAAGAAGCAGCAAAATGACAAACGATTGAAAATTAATTCTGTTGAAGGATAAGACAAAATACTGAATGTCATATGCCATAAATGATTCCCCCTACTTAAGGAATAAACAAAAAAGAAGGGTATCTCTATCAATCACCACTTTCCCTTCCAAGAAGTACATCTGTAAATTTTTCAAATAAGCTTCAAAAAAATTAAAGTTTCAACTCTCAAATCCAAATTAACAAACCATATTCATGAACGCGTTTCAGCCCACCGTATTTCTTCCACTGGGACCAACAAATGCTACATAAACGAAGTTGCAGATGCGCCGGGCCCCATGCGTACCACTGTGTTGATTCGTCTATTTGACAACTTTCACATGCTGATGTACCTTTCATCGGTTGCCCGCTAGGATTCGGTGGTCCAACCAAATTTGGATTTGGTTTGTTGTAGTTCGGTATGTATACTTGTTTTAACTTGCTTTCTTGTTCCACTGCTTTGTTCTTTTTAACTTCAACATAACGATTTGTAGTCTTCCACATATAGTAATATTCAACAATATCCCGCATTGATTTCCATGGTAAATAATCGGCACGTATATCACTGAAATCTTTCCCATACTTTTCCACTGCTTCTTCAAAAAGATTTGCTTCTGCTGCTGACCATTCTTCCATTTGATCACGACATAATATCGGTCCGCCTAAGCTAACCGTATTGTGCGATGTTGTCTTATCTGCATCCAGTGGATAATGTTGTTTGCTAGGAGGAGGTACCAGGTACTTCACTGCCTGAACAACGATATAAAATTTACCAATCTGATACAAATTGCCAAGCCTTCAGCTCTTTTGATCAGGATTAATTCGTAACATTTTTTAATCCCATTTAATGTTTTGGATTAAAGTCCAAAAATTTCTAAGATTTTTTGATTCTTCTCTATAACTATTTCACGCTAATCCTTATCTAAAATATCTGTAGATGTTTTTACAAATTTCTGCTATTGCACCAAACTGTCAACAATAACATGGATAAAACTTTTTTGGCCACAATTATGCACTTTGCTTCTTAAATATTAGCATTGTATCTCTTAATTCCATTTATTACTTGATTCGTCAATCAAACTTTTAATTCAACAATAAGAAGCCTGTCGAAGAATCGTCTAAAACTTTCAACGAGAGGCCTATCGATTGCATCCCACCATCCTGAGACGCGCTAAACTGAGTGATCGAATAAAACTCACAATCATCATTTAGGACCCTGCGTATCGTTCAAACCCGATCTTTACACCATCACCTAATCCCGTCATCTTGTCTTTCTATCACAAAAAATTCTGAAATTTCAAAAATTCGATGAACTGCATCAAAAGAATATGACAGAAATATGTACCTGTCCCATATCATAATTTGCTTGATGTAAAAGAGCCATAGCATGGAAAAGGGTAACATCACGACTTGCAGCTGCTGCGGTCATATGTAACGAAGGTAGTTTCATCGAAGATGACGTATCCAATGCACGTGAAAATGTTCCAACCGCCCTGGATATTATAAAAATGATGACAGCACTTCAAAAAATAAGATGAAAGATGCCTATCCAATTCCGAAATCCATACGCAAATACATCAACAAACAGTACCTTGCAACAATTAAAAATTGATCTATATCGCGATCCGTTAAATTATGATGCGGATGATAGACGAGAAACTCGCGCTTCGAAGTTGTTACAACTGTTTCTTCATCATCTTCATCTTCAGCAATCACCAAATTTCTAAACTATGATTTTACTATGTTTGAATTTTCGAGCAATATGTTCCAAAATATATTCTCCTTTTTCAGCGTAATATTTTCTGAAAATTTTCTAAAATTGAGACGTATCTCTATCGCTCAAATATATGTTGCTAAACATAACACCGGCGACGTTAGGATCAGCATAATCGGCAAAGCTGCCAAAAAGATGGAAAAATTATAGTCACACTTATCAAAGGAAATATTGTCCAAACTTACCCATTCTCTTTGTTTTCATCCACAGCATCTGGCGCCATATCATCAGGCACATCGCACTGATACTTTTCACCAACTCTTATTTCACCTTTATCGGCCAATAATGTCATTGCGGTTGGATCAAATACCAGCGAATAAAAGAAAGCATCCTAGAAAATAACTCTTTTGGAATATTTTTGTATTAAAAAAAATCCGATATCTCCTTTCCTCACATCAACATAACCCGTAGCCTTCATCCCTTCAAAAACTCTCAAAACTTACATCACGATCTAAGTACATATCCGGAGTTTCAACTTCACTCAATAATGTTACGTTGCATTTGCCTCGAATATGCGTTGCTGGAAGTGCTTCAATTTGCCGGGTAAGATAAAGCTCGTGTTGTCTAAAAATCAGACGATTCTTGTCGTTAAATTTTTATTGTCATCAACTTTCCAGAAACGAAAATCGAACCGAATTATTTCATTCGCATCACTCTAATGTACCATCAAAAGACTTCTTCAAAGCTCTCGCCAAATTTTGTAAGTTGTTAAATTTGTAAATCGCTACGCCATTTCATACAGCTTACCTTAATACATGTCTTTCCTTCGGTGTCAAATTTTCGGCTCCTTTTGGAAGACCCGCAAAACCATAGCCACCCTCCTTTGACTTTTCACCATCTTTGTCTTTTTCATCGTCTTCTTTGACATCTGATTATATAAAATCAACAAAATTTTGATTTTTAAAAACAGAAAACAAAATAATTCACGTCATATGTCATGCTTCCAGAAGCGTGGCGAGAATCAGAAAACCACCGATTGAAAATATCTTCCTCAAAGTAACAAAATAAAATTACCTTTACTCTCTGGTTCCATTTCTTCATCATTACCAGTATCTACGCACATAAGCTTCGGTGAATCGCTTTCCTCACGAGTGTCAGTTACTGGAGTGTCATCCTTAGCTTCCTGATTGCTTCGCTGATCATTTTCAGGTAAACTTTCATCATCTGTTCAAATTCATTATAGACTGTTTAATCTCAAACAATTAAGAGGAATACTAAAATCAAAAGCCTTAACATTAGAACATTTTTGATGATGACTACACAAACTATTCGGCAATTCATTCATCCCAAAACATGATGAAAAGAATTTATATCAACTAGTCTTTTTCTTCGCAACTTGATTCAAAGCATAAAAGTATTACTGGTTGGGACTTGTACCTTTTTTCATACCATCAGACGATTCATCACTTGCATCTCCAGCAGGAGCAGATGGCGTAATAACAAGACGTCGTCGTGTATTTATCACTTTATCTAAAAAATAAACTCAGAGAAATGCTATGCTCTCCATATGCTTTCGTAATTCTCTTTTATTTGTTTTTGGATCTAAACAACTTGAAGCACCTTATTTATAAAAAACTAAATAGCACACGTTATGCTTCCTCGCGTTAGCATATAATATTCAGTATAATTACTTACCAATTCTTTCTGCTCGATCAGCTACTTTAAGCAACGATGTAGGCAAGTCACGTCGTCGACAAAAGCACGATACCTTCGCTTCCACATTTCCTGATGGTGTCTAAAATCGTGTTCAAATTCTAAACTGTTTGTGACAAATATTCAAAAAATATAATATTCTCTAGTATGAATAGTACACATTTATCTGATTAGAAAATCATGGTGAACTTAATTAGGAAAAAATTTTAACTTTATTTTTCTAAAATCTTCTTTAGACATAAGCTGAAAACCAATACATGATGGAACAATAAGAAACTATTATTGTTTGTAACAGTTCCTGTGCTTTTTTAGATAAATTTGTAAGAGAGCTGAAATAATTGAACATATATTAAATGATTAAACACGACGTTAACAAGTACATTTCTCACCTTATTCAGTTCTTCAATTTTTCGCACTTGATAAGGAGCTGCACTTGAAATTTCGAAATAGACAAAGTCTAAAAAAAAAACGTTTATCATGCAATTACGGATTGATCATCTATCATTATTATTAAATTACGCTACATTAACTCTAGCATCAAACAAGCAATGAAATAATAACATTTACAAATGAAATAACATTTACAGATGATGAATTTTATTGCGAAACTTAAAACTTTACCTCCAACTCGATACATATTCTGCGCCATTCTAATTATGCATCAGCAACGTGGGGTATGCAGATATAAAATAGGCATAAATACAAAAACTCTGAAATAAAATGATAGAATCAACTAGTGAATATATGTATGATACAAAATATGAAATATATGACATATGAATGATCACAATAATATTCTTTGAAAAGACGAATAAATC